TTCCGTCTTTAAAACTAACAGGGGGCTGAAAAGATGGTTCAGTGGTTAAGAGTGTAAGTGAGGGCACAGTAAAGAAACTGCTGACATGACAGTTCCATGATTCGGTTAAGGTTTTTACTGGAGATGTGCAAGAGAGACCGCCAGAGGCATTTGGAGGAGTCCAGAGCAGAAAGAAGTAGACAGAACATGACCATCAGACTGGACATGGCCAGGGCTAGGGAATTGGAAGAGAACATGCAATGGAGAAAAGAGCATAGTGAAAGAGAATAAGAGAGAGTAAGTTTGGGGATGGTGAACCTGAGGAGGGTGAGTGAATGGGGAGAGATTGGTGTGGAGACTTTGAAATGTTATAGCGAGTACTTGTGAGTATAGACCGAGGGAGCCAGGAGGTCTGGCGTCATTGACTTTGATATGCAGCCACAGGCATATATGCCAATGGAGAACTACATGTCCTTTCTCTCATAAGGGAAATGACTCCTTTGGCAGATGGGAACTGGTTTCCTACGTTCCTGAAGAATGCTGGCTTTTATCTACCACCAGAAATCCTCCTTTAGTCCAGGTTGAGCTCATTCTGGATGTTTGGGCAGCCTGAGACCTGACAGAGAGCACTATTGCTGTTCCAGAGGCCTCAGGTTCAGATACCAGTGCCCTCATCAGGTGGCTGACAACTGCCTGTAATTCCAGTTCCAGGGAATCCAATGACATCTTACAGCCCCTATAGGCACCCATTAGCATGTGGGAGACATGCACACAGACACACAAATACACATAAGATAAATTTCAAAACTAACAATAACAACAACAAAACCTATGCTTCTTGGCTCAGACCTCTAGGAAGTCCCAAGACTTATTAGCAGTCCAGTGGCAGCGAGCCCTGCCCTGGTGGCCAGGATGTTCTGAAAGGCCACTTTCCATTGAGAGTGAGGAAGGAAGAGGGCTCCTTGAAAAACTGCTTACCACCAAATCTAGAACAAGAAATGGGGGTGGGGCCTGGAATGTCTGCCACCTCAGATGCCAAGGAAGTCTTCTACCACTGCCAGAAGACGCTGCAAAGGAGTTCACTGGAAGAGACTCCCTCTAGTAAAAAATGGACAGGCTTTTTAGCATTAGAAGGCAGAGCTTTAGTGAACAGAAGCTCACCAGACGTGTGTAACTACACAAGTTCATGACACCAAGCCAAACCTAAGGAGGTCATCCTTGGCGTATTCCATGTTTGAAAAGAAATGAGAGATAACTGAGTATATGCTCTGCCTTTCCTGTAGACTTGGTCACCAAATAGTAGAGATAACAGGAAATAATCAGTTCATAAGGGAAAGAATCATGGAAGGCTCTCGACAGAGCATGTGGTTAGAATATGTGAGCTGGGTTCCACACCTATCCCTCTCCCCCAGCCAAAGTGTCACCACAGACAAACTGGTTGATGTGAACGTGGCCCCAATCAGCAGCGTCTGCCAATATCACGACGTCCTAGGTGTCCTATGAAACATACTTGCCAAAATTTTCAAACAAACGGCAACTTATAGGAAAGACAAGAGACAAAATAGCGTATATAAAAGACACCACGGGAATGCATTTGGTACCATCTGTGCTGAAGCTGGAAATAAACAGAGGAACAAAAGAGTGTGACCATCACAGAGCCATATATTCCCACTCAGGTATACCAGGCAAATTCTAGGATTTTCAAGTGCGTTTAAAAGCCATATGCAGATGCCACTCCAGTCTGTGCAGCCTGGGGAGCAAGTGTGCTCTACACAGAGTTCACACCCAAATTCTTTCTGCGGTGTGCACTGTCACCACAACTGGAGGGCAGCATCTGCATATCCCTGTGTTACCTGCTCTGGGGTCCCCGAGTGCCCCCCACCATTTGATCCCCCGGCCCCACCAGCAGCCGCTTGTGCAGGGGCAAGATATAGACTGTGAACTGTTGGCACCCGTGTCTTCCCCAGACCATCTCATCCTAAGATTCCATTTCAGAGCAAGAACTCCCTCAGCTGTTGCTAACTGAAGGAGCTTCCGGGAGTTGTGATGGATGCCAGCCAGCTCTTCCATGCAGTTCCTGGAATTGTCCCTCAGGGTGGTTGAAATACTGGGGTGATTGTCCCACAGTCTGAATCAATAACAGCCTCATTTCTGTGTGAGGGAGTCTCAGGAATTTTTTTAAATCAAAAAATGGAGGCCAACCTTTGTGGAAAAACTTAGAAGACATTTCTTCCAGCCAGGAAAAACTGCCCATGTCACTCTTCTGACATCCTTTGTGGAAGGCAAAGCCATCTGAGTGGCTCTCCTACTAAACCCTCCACCAAGGTTTTTTACCAGACCCCCCCATCTTAAAAGACACAAGGCAGTGCCACGAGGGAGTGCTTGCTGGGGGCTACGCAGCGAGTGTGTAAGGCATTCATGGAGCTCTTCAGCAAACACCACACACACACCTGGGGTATGGCCATAAACGCACAGACCACAGGCTCTTTATCTAATCACCCACAGCTTGACAGCCAGGCTGCCTGGACCACAGTGTCTCCAGTACAGAACTACATCACAGACGTTCTGGTCACGGGATTCTTGGTGACCAAAGTCGAGTTGGTTCCAACAATACACTGGAGGAAATGAGGAAGCACAGCAGTAAACTGAGGAGAAGGGAGAGGTGGGGGCGGGGCGGGGAGGGGGTGCTGGGAGAGACTGCAAAACCCTTCTGCACTGGGACTGCCCACTGGAAGCATTTAATACCCACCAGCTTTCACCAGGGCCTCCATTCCCTTCAGGACCTGGAGTCCTTGTACATTCTCAAGTACCAGCTATCTAACTTTGGATCTATGATCCCAAAGCGACAGATACTTCTTATTTTTAACTTACTGATATTTATTTTAGGAGGACACCTTCTTTCTCTGAGAGGATTGCTGTGGGTTTTGAATTTTTTGGATAAATTTCCTGAGCTAACGTAGTTTTAACTTGCCAAACTGATGAGATCCAGGTCGACAGATAAACAAAACATGCTCTTCAGTGTTAAGATTGTGGCTGATTTTTATGCCCACTAAAATATATCTTTTTAAAATTAGTATAGGACTGGAGAGATGACTCAGCAGTTAAGAGTACTGGCTGTTTTTGTAGAGAATCTGAATTCAGTTCCCAGCACCCACATGGTGGCTCACAGCCGTGTGTAATTCCAGTTCCAGAGGATCTGACACCCTCTTCCAGCCTCCATGGGCAGCAACTCACAGACAAGTACATGCAAGCACATAAAATAATTTAAAAATATTTTTAAAAAGCAGCCTTTATAGGTGAGCATGGTGGCACATGCCTTTAACCCCAGCACTCCCAACACAAAGGCAGGTGGATCTCGGAGTTCCAGAACAGCCAAGGCAGACAGAGAAACCCTATCTTGAAAAGCCAATAAAACAAACAAAAGCCAGAATTTATCTAGTCTTTTCAGAGATTCCCCTCCCATCAGAAAGCAAAGGCTCCCGGTGTTTTGCAGCTGTCTGTGAAGATACCGCTTAGCAGCTGTCCACGGAGGTATCCGACATGCTGTAAGTTCCACGAAGGTACTTAGCAGCTGTCCACGGTGGTACTTAGCAGCTGTCCACGGAGGCATCTGATGTACTTTAAGCCCCACGCAGGTGCTGAGCAGCTGTCCACGGAGGCATCTGATGTACTTTAAGCCCCACGCAGGTGCTGAGCAGCTGTCCACGGAGGCATCTGATGTACTTTAAGCCCCACGCAGGTGCTGAGCAGCTGTCCACGCAGGTACTTAGCAGCTGTCCACGGAGGCATCTGATGTACTTTAAGCCCCACGCAGGTGCTGAGCAGCTGTCCACAATGTACCTGCTGCACTATAAGTCCCACGTTCAAAGGAGACATTCTGGTTTTATATGGCATTTAGAAACAAAGCCTGTTGATTTCTTTCTTTCTTTTTTTTTTAGCTTTGAAAGTTTTAGTCCTTAAATAGGAGAATCTTTGAAATGACATGCTCTTTTTAAAAAATAGGCATGAAAAGGATGGACATGAAGCTATTGCTGCCTGTCCTCCCCAATCCCCTGAGAGGACTGTGTTTTAAGAAACAGGTGAGTGTTGAGATAAGTGTTTAGATTTTGTTTATGCATCATGGTGGTGTCTATAAATGTTGATTACTTTGTACAGCTTTTTGAGAAATTTTATTTTAATATTAACTTCTAACAGTGATGGGGTAACCTACAGTGATCTTTAGATCCGATTCACAAGTACACAGGGCATTCAAATTTTAAAAGATGCTGGCCTTCATTCTTGGACAGATTCTATTTAACTGAAATTCTCTGTTCAGAAAGCAATGAATTTGCATCTTGTTCCTGTGAACCTAACCAAATGTGCCCTGTGGTCTGTGTGAGCGAAATAAAATTGAACTCGATGTTTTCCCCTAAATTATTGTAAGTGTATGATGTCTCTCAATCAAAATATTGATAGAAAAAAGAATACCTCATTATTAAAAAAAAACAAAACAAAACCTGTTTCAGGACTGAAGAGATAGCTGGGTGGTTAAGAGCACTGGCTGCTCTTCCACAGGCAGGGAGTTCAATTCCCAGCACCACATGACTCACAAATGTCTGTAAAGCCAGTTCAGGGGATCTGGTCCTTTCTTCTGGCCTATTCACATTGCACATATATGGTAGACAAATCTGCATGCAGGCAAAACAATTGTAGATGTAAAATAAAAAATATATATATGTATTTTTTTTTTTTTGGTGTTTACGAGACAGAGTTTCTCTGTATTGTTTTGGAGGCTTTCGGTCCAGCCCAGCCTCCAACTCACAGAGATCCGCCTGCCTCTGCCTCCGGAGTGCTGGGATTAAAGGCGTGCGCCACCACCGCCCAGCAAAAAATAAATATTTTTAATACCACTAGAATATCAAAATGTATGTGAGTCTTTAAAACATATGACATATTCAGCCATATTAGCTATGAAGTTCATGTCCAGATTGTAGGAAAAAATATATTATAAATGAACAAAATATCTTAAATCTTGCTTTAGATACTGGGAAGCCACATTTCAATTTTATTAACACAAGAGACAATAGCACAATGGCAAACATCAGCTTGAATCTATTCGTGCTTTTTGCGGATGGTACTGATGTGTGTCATGGGACCTCCTCGGGTCCACCGTCTGCATCCATGTCTCGTGTGCAGTGCAGTGCGATGCTTGCTCTACTAGTTCACTTCCAGGCTGGTGGACTCCAGTTGCTTCTCATTGCCCAAGCAGAGGCAAGAACAGGATGTCTGAGTCATGAGGCTGATTTAAAAAAAAAAGGCTTTATTCTAGAAACGTGTTAGCACAGCAGATGCCAAGAGCCCTTTTCTACCCTTGGAAGAGACATAATTCTGGAAGTCTGAAGAACCATGAGGCCTCCGACATCTTTCTTTACCTCTAGCCTGAACTCTCAACATGATGGGTTTTGGGTAGGAAGGTCAGAGCTGAGGGGCAGCCAAACTATCTCTGCTCTGGAGGAAGTCACTCTGGAGTCCAGTTGAGAGCTCCAAGATCTCCAGAGGATTTGCTTGCAAGTACCAACCACTGAGCTTGCCCGAGGACCGGGTGCTGAGGGCTTGAAAAGGGGCAGGCAGAAGGCAAGGACCAGGACATACTGGCATCACACGCACCGCCGCCGTCGCCTGTTCCTAGCATTAAAGTGTCTGTATGGGAGCAGCTTCACTAGGGAGCTGAAGCCACCCCTGGGAAGCTCTATGTCCTGCACCAAACAAAGAAGTGCCCAGGTTAGTTCTGGTCCCGGGTTTGAGCCCTCAGGGATTCCGAGGTGCTAATGCTGATTTCCACCGCTGCACCCTATTGACCTCCAGGGGTCGCTGTTCTGCGAACAACGCAAGACCTGCCCTTGAAACCAGGGCATCTCTCAGAATACACAGTAAAAGTAGAGGAAGGACACCAGGAGGTTGACCCTGGCTGACTCTACTCCTCGGCAGCGCTTTTGGTGTTACACCTTGGCAAGGTCCAGCCTTACTCAGTAACCCATCTTTGTCCCCGGACTCAGGAATCTGTCCTATAGAGGCAGGCCCTTCCCAATGTAGCCCATGAGAGATTAAATGCTCTCACACCCTGACGGCCATTGAGGGTCCATCTTCTCCTTACCTGCTGCTCTGTCTAGCAGGGGGACAACCATACAGCAAGCAGTGGAAAGGTGATGAGGGAGGCTTTTCTTTGCCCTCTGGACCGCTGTTTCTCTCCTGCTCTTTCCTCTTCTACTTCCTAAACAGCTTCCTCATTCTGTTGGCCAGGCAGCCTTGCATTCAACAGATGTTGCAGCTGTTCTCTGACTCTTCACTTCCTGTACTGACATCTTTCTAGCCCTCTGTTATTAAACGCTGCCTGGGATCTCATTCTTCCTGCTCTCTCCAATAGCAGACTCCTTCTACAGCTACACAATGCCCTGCCTCTAAGAGCAGAGTCAACGAATGTGTCACGTGTCAACAGTCCGTGAAGGGAGGCACTAAGTATAGGCCTTGGAAGGCAGGCTCGGCAGTACCACTTAACTCTTGGGTAGTTGTGGAGAAACTGTCTTTGTGAGCCCCAGGGCCCCAGACCTTACTGGGATTAGACAGGAGGGTGTGCTGGTGAAGGCTGTTATTAAAATGGATTCTTTTAGGCAGGGCGCGTGTACTGGGGCTGGGGAGGGCATAGCCACTGAATCTCTCAGATCTTCTTGGTTATAAGGACTGATCAAAGCCAGTGCGGTGCCTGTCTGTATAATCCTCAGATTCCACATCAGTGCTTAAAGGCATCAGATGGGGTGGGCATACGTGCTGGCTACCCATGCACTGCGTCTATGTGGAGATCAGTGATACCCATGCACTGCGTCTATGTGGAGATCAGTGATACCCATGCACTGCGTCTATGTGGAGATCGGTGATACCCATGCACTGTGTCTATGTGGAGATCGGTGATACCCATGCACTGTGTCTATGTGGAGATCAGTGATACCCATGCACTGCGTCTATGTGGAGATCGGTGATACCCATGCACTGTGTCTATGTGGAGATCGGTGATACCCATGCACTGCGTCTATGTGGAGATCAGTGATACCCATGCACTGCGTCTATGTGGAGATCGGTGATACCCATGCACTGCGTCTATGTGGAGATCGGTGATACCCATGCACTGCGTCTATGTGGAGATCAGTGATACCCATGCACTGCGTCTATGTGGAGATCAGTGATACCCATGCACTGTCTATGTGGAGATCGGTGATACCCATGCACTGTGCTATGTGGAGATCGGTGAGAAAGCCAGGCTCTCTGCCAGCGTTGGGGATGGCAGCTTTTCTCTGGCCCATGGCCACCATGAATGAGGAGCTCAGTGGCCACGGCCTTATGTGGGTGGCTTACAGTCCCCTATTCCTCAAGATTCCATGCTGCCTTCAGAGATGTCAGGGGGATACGAATAGGGATGTTGAGATGTTGTTATTGTCATGAACTCTCTGAGGAAGGTGACAGCTGGAGGCACTGAGAACCAGAAGCCTCACTTTCCAGAGGGAAACAGAGTCTCACTGGAAGAGACTTGCCCAGTGCCATTTTTGCAGTCCTTCTCAAAGACAAATACATGCATTTTGGAGACATTTGGACTGCAACTCAACTGGCTACAAGAGCTTGAAAACATACAAAGCCTAGATTTTGTGCAACTGTTGGAAGATCACAGTTGATGCTTCTTTGCTGTAAGGGCCAGAAGAAGGAATGGACACCACTGTCTCTGTCTCTGAGTGGCGGTTCAGGCACCCAGCACCATGTCCCTGCACAAAGTGATGGCGCAGCCTCTCCCAAACAGCCTGATTGCTTACAGGAAGTGCACGGCCATGACCCGGGTGTAAGGCCTGTAAAGGCTATAGGAGAGAAAGGAGGGTGGATTGTGAGGAGAAGTGGTTTAAAAAACAAATGGAGACAGCAAATTCAAAAGATCTTGTCGGTCAAGGAAGTTCTAGGACCAGGATGCAGCTCAGTTGGTAGAGTGCTTGCCTTGTGTGCACAAAGCCGTGGGTTCGATCCTTGGCACTGTATAAATCAGGAGTGGTAGTGCATGCCTGTCTTCTCAGAATTTGGGAGGCTAAGGCAGGAGGATTGCTGATTCTAGTGCAAGCCTGGATTACAGAGTAAATCCCTTGTCTTTAAAAAAAATCACATAGTGAGTTCCAGAACAGCCAGGGCTGTGTAAAGAGATCCTGTCCCCTAAAAATCAATCAGCCAATAAATAGATGAAATAATAAAAATAAATTTAAAAAAATCAAACTACCAAATAATAGTAAAGTTTTTGAAAGATCCAAAGGCGGCTCTGAATCCAAGAAAAGTAATGGTTTAGGGCCTGGACCATATTCCCTGGCCCTTTTCCTTCATTTTCTCATTTATTCCACAGAGATAGACTGAACATCCCACACAGGGCCACATCCTGTCTGGATGCCGCTTGGAGAGGACTCGGTCCCAGTTGTTCCAGTGATCAGAGAAACAGCACAAAAGACACCATCAGAGTGCAAACGGCTTTGAGTGTTTGGCTGCGCTGGTCATGCTGGGGGAACTCTAAGAAAGTAGGTCTACTGAAGACATACTTTTTAGTTTTAACTGCAGACTGTGTTTTTATGGCTGAGATCAAGACGCACACTCACGTGCACATGCTCACACGCACACGCACACATGCAAACACGCACACACGAACACGCACACGTGTGTATCACTTTATAAGCTAATGTTTTTATTTAGTGGGATGTCATGAACATCTGCACTGTGCTGCCATCTTTCCACTGGCTATGACGTATTTTCAGTAGAGTGATGTCCTATCTGGTTTGCACATTTAGGTTATTTTTACCTTTTCCCCTTGTGATAAGTAATACTGTTATGAATATAGTTGTACTACATTGTTTCTGATCTTTCTTCATATAGATTGTTAGTCATAGGGCTCTAGGACACAGTATACTGACATTTAAAACTTTCTCAATAATTCAGCAATACTAGCTGCCCCAGGTGGCTTTCTGAGATAATTTTTGGGGGTGTCTACAATAGCTGTGGCGTTGTGAGTCCTTAAGTCTGTGTGGAGATCTAGGGAAGCAAGACCAGGGTAGAATGCTTTCAATCATAAGCGCTGGGTCACCAGTCTCAGCCCCTTCGCTTGTTAATCATTGCTGTGGCCATATCAGCCTGGAGTCAGTATTTTTCTTTGGGCTGCCAGTTCACAAGTAACAGCATGGATACTTATTAACTATGAAAGCTCAGCCTTAGCTTAGGCTTGTTCCTAACTAGCTCTTATAATTTAAATTAACCAATTTTCTCGTCTTCTCCTTTATTCTATTTTTCTTTAAATTAAAAACAATCTTACTTTACATACCAGTCCTAGTTCCCTCTCCCTCCCATCCTCCCGCTCCCCCCATCTCCTCATCCCACCCCCCTTCCACTCCTCAGAGAGGGTGAGGTCTCCCATGGGGTATCATCAAAGTCTGTCACATTATTTGAGGGTGGGACCAAGGCCCTCCCCCATGTATCTAGACTGAGCAAGGTATCCCTCCATAGAAAATGGGCTCCAAAAAGCCAGTTCATGTACTAGGGATAAACACTAGTTCTGCTGCCAGAGGCCCCAGCTGGCACTCATCTTCAGGTGGTCTGGTTCAGCCTTATGCAGGTTCTCCAGCTGACACTCATCTTCAGGTGGTCTGGTTCAGCCTTATGCAGGTTCTCCAGCTGACACTCATCTTCAGGTGGTCTGGTTCAGCCTTATGCAGGTTCTCCAGCTGACACTCATCTTCAGGTGGTCTGGTTCAGCCTTATGCAGGTTCTCCAGCTGACACTCATCTTCAGGTGGTCTGGTTCAGCCTTATGCAGGTTCTCCAGCTGGCACTCATCTTCAGGTGGTCTGGTTCAGCCTTATGCAGGTTCTCCAGCTGACACTCATCTTCAGGTGGTCTGGTTCAGCCTTATGCAGGTTCTCCAGCTGACACTCATCTTCAGGTGGTCTGGTTCAGCCTTATGCAGGTTCTCCAGCTGACACTCATCTTCAGGTGGTCTGGTTCAGCCTTATGCAGGTTCTCCAGCTGACACTCATCTTCAGGTGGTCTGGTTCAGCCTTATGCAGGTTCTCCAGCTGTCAGTCTGGGGTTCCTGAGCACCCACTTGCTCAGGCCAGCTGTTTCTAAGGGTTTTCCCAACATGGTCTTGTCCCCTTTGCTCATCACTCCTCTCTCTGCAGCTGGATTCCAGGAGTTCAGCTTAGTGCTTAGCTGCGAGTCTCTGCTTCTGCTTCCATCAGCTACTGGATGAAGGCTCTATGGCGGCATTTAAGGCAGTCATAAACCTCATTATAGAAGAAGGGTACATAAGGTATCCTCTCCTTGACCAATATCTTTTATGCCTCAGATCTGTTGCATGGCTCATTACCTCATCTGTCCGTACTGCCCATGCTGCTTCCTCTGCATCTGGCTGGTGACTCCACCTTTCTTCTTCCCAGAATCCTCTCTGTACCTGGAAGTCCTGCCTGTATCTCCTGCCTAGGCCTTTCAACTTGTTACTCCGCCAATCATATCAACACATTTTCACACAGTGTACAAATATCCTACAACATCAGCGCTCATCTTTGAAACCCAGCCCTTCCCCTGTGGTGATTCCTCCCCGATCACTCTTGTGAGGGCCCAAGACAGTGAATGTAGAGCACACACCCCACCTAGAATATGGTAGAAGCGTGATGACTGTGCGCTGTCGCAGGTGACAGCTCCTTGGTTGGCACGGGCACAGATCCCTATCCTCTAGTAGCTGGTGCTTTAAGGTGCAGCCTTAGTATGTTTGACCCAACACTGGGACAGCCGAGACCCTGAGGAGCTCTGGTGATGATGGGGCAAGGGCCGAGTTCACATCCCAAAGGCAGAGAAGATAGCAGATGGTTCTGGGTGCAGAGACGTGGGGAAGGAAGGGATTGCCAAGCTGTATGGGGCATAAAGGAAGGAGGAGAGTGGGGAGGAAAGGGAAGAGGAGGCAGAGCTGAGCGTGAGAGCTAGAAGAAAGAGCTGTTTCTGTTAGTATCAGAACGGAAGGTGGAGCCAGCCAGCACAAGCTGCCTGGGAGTCTTCTGGTAGTTGTCCCAGCACCTGGATCTGAGGCTAACTCACTGTCTGGTCCTGGATAAAAAGCTCACCCTTGCTGGACACTAGTATACCCATCTGCAGAAGAGCCGGCTCTCTGCCCATCGTAGGTGCCCTCTGGTCTGGTAATGCTCTGAAGAAATCGAATGGCTTCCTAGGCTGTTCCCCAAGGAAGTGAAAATACCTGCCCAAATGGTTTCTCCTCTGGAGACAGAGGACAAGATCTGCCCTGGGATGCTTCAAATAATGGGAAGCCATTTCTAGGACTTAGAGGAACAATAAATTCAGAGGGAAGGAACTTGCTTAAAGAGAGTGA